TCTTTTCGAGTCACATGATTTTCGAGTATGCCTAACACACTGTTAATTGCTGTGGCATAAAGTCACAGCTAGGCATCTACTACTGCGTTCATTTTTTGAGGGGATCATTGGAAAAATAACTAATACTTTCTTGATATTTTGAAGTGATTAGATTATAAATATTCCGAAAATGACAAATAAATATAGATAAGAGAGTAGTTAGTGAGTTGGTAATGTTAGAAGGAAATATTTGATTTCGAAAAGTATGTGCTTCATGTTATTATGATTTTTTTAATGAATCGAACTCGATAGGAAATAGTTTATATCAGTAAGTTTGACTCTTAGTTTTTTTTATGAGCTTGAAACCTTATTTATTATTATTATGACTCTTTCATTTCTTATTAATTAGTATCTTGTTTATTTTATTAGTTCTTTTTTTAATATATTACTTTTTTTACAATAATTTATTAATCTTAGATAAATACATTTGTGATTATTTAATATCATAAATTCAACTAAAAGTGATCGATGAAACTTTTCGATAAAGATTAAGTATTAATAAAATAGGTGAAACCTTATTTATTATTATTATGACTCTTTCATTTCTTATTAATTAGTATCTTGTTTATTTTATTAGTTCTTTTTTTAATATATTACTTTTTTTACAATAATTTATTAATCTTAGATAAATACATTTGTGATTATTTAATATCATAAATTCAACTAAAAGTGATCGATGAAACTTTTCGATAAAGATTAAGTATTAATAAAATAGGTGAATACTTTAAATGAATAATATAATTAAAAAATTAATATTATAAATTATAAATATTAAAATAAATCATGCCCATCAAAATACTCCTATATAATATAAACATTAATTACTTATTGGTTTTTCAAATGTTGTAAGCATTCCTGTTTCTTTTTAAATATATTCAAAATAGAAAGTTATGAAAGAAATCACATAATTTTTTTGATATATAAACGGTGCATACAAATATTTGATTTTTTTTATACATAATATGATACTTATACGATAATGTCAACGATTCTAGTATCTATTTCTTTAATAAATAAAAAAAAATACATTTTTTAGAATTAAAATTAATAGTCTTAAGAAATATTAAGTAAATTGACTTATGATCGAATAACAAAGAAATATTAAATAAACTTAAACATGATAATTTGATAAGTAAGTTAATTTCATAAAAAAATTAAAATATATTAATAATTTTAATAAATTAATTCAATTAATTTAATTTTTTTTATGTCTATACTTAAATGTTGCTCGTGGTAGGTGATCATTTATTATATTCGTTTTGAATGTATTTTGGATTTTTTTTTTCTGAAAAATTAACAAATTTAAAACAATCATCCTTTCTGAAACTGACTTACTCACTAAAGAGTTTTAATTTGAGCTCTCGGAGCATTACAATTTATATCCAGTGAAATATTTTAATTTCTAAAAATAAATTTTACTTTCTTCTAATTTTTATATATCTCAACAAAGACATTTATCTACACCACATGCCTACAACATAGAACTTACTTAACTATAGTATCACACAACTTCACAACTTAATCATATATCAACTTACATCCTAACAACATATACATCATCATATAGTATATCAACATGAACCAAAATAAACTATCATCATATCATCTTATTATACAACTTAATCATTATCCTTCATTCATAAAACAACTTAAACAAAACATCAAACTCATAAATTCGCACCCAATGCCATCCCCTGGATGCTTGACACAATTAAGACAAAGAACTTCCTATCTCGCTCACTCTCAACATCAAACTATTTGCGTTTGATGTGGCTAAGACAAAGAACCTCCCATTCTTTTGCTCTTGGCATGACAAAACTCATGTCCGACCCCAATCAACTACAGGGTCTCTATCTGACTCACACTCAACGCTACTTCATTAGCACTTGACATGGATTTAGGGAGAGACAATTCTCTCTTCTCACATCCAATGTTATTTAAACCACACTCGATGCCATTCAAATCACACCCGACAAGATTTCAATCAAAGGCAATTTTATATCCTCATGCTTGACATCACCAATCCTACGCCTATGCATGAGAAAGACGAACCCCTTTTGGTTGAAGCCACACCCAATGCCTTAAAGGCACAGCCGATATGACATCAATTTTTGCACTTGCGCATAAATTGAATTCGCCCGATCCACGTGGAAAACAATAACTCACTAACATGCATTGCAATATACAACATCTAGTCACCATAAAGAACTCAATTCTATCAACAAAAAAAACATGCATTCGTTAAGGATCAAAAAATCAACATATTCAACTCATAACCACTTCAAGAGAAATCCCAACTCCATAAATTATCATCCCATGAATTCAAACAATAACAACTATGATTCTAGTGATTCCAAGTAGCAAAAATTCACATGTATCAACAAGAATTCAAACACAAAACTTCTCTTAACTCTTGTCAATCAAAACCAAATAAAGGAGAAGAAAAGGAAGAACATTATGATTTTGACTTGAGATTCTTGGGTCCACAAACTTTGAATCTTCAACTCACCCAAGTGATTCAGCTACAAATAAGAAGAAAGGAAATATTTTCATAAAAGGGAAGAAGAAAAAAGTTTTAGGTTTGAGAAAGTTTTTCTATAACTTATTTCTAAAATTTCTTAAAATGTGAATTTGTGAAGTTCATTCTTTAAGAAAAATATTATGTACTCTTCTTTAAACTAAACTATCTTAATTATACCTAATATTATCTTAGAAGCAACCTAATTCTTAAAGTCTTTAACTTCAAAGTTTTAAATCAACATTCATAATAACACAACAATATTTAATCACATAATTAAAATTAAAACATTTAAAACTTATAGTGTTACAACATATACTTAAATTTCAATTTTTCTATAATTTTCTCATTCAAACAAAATATTTTACCTCAATATTTTTAATATACACAAAATAAATTATTTTCTTAAAATTTCATTTCCAAACACAATATAAAGTTATATCAGTTCAAAACCAATCTGTTTAATTTTATGTTAGATTCATGTAACGTGTATAAAAAATGTAAATAATCCAAAGTTATGTATGTTATTTCTTCTTGGACGTAATAGGCACTAAATATATGAATAATGTTTACTTAAAATTATATGAATTGATATTCGAATGTGATTTTAGATAACTCCACCAAGCAAAATAAGTTGTAATGTGTGTATTGTAGGAATGAGACCCAGATACAATGTTAAAAAAAAAATCTAATTGATAACACAATTAAATTATAGGAAAAAAAACGTGTCGAAACAACATTAAATCAAAACAAATGAAAATAACCACTATCCATATGAGCCATACTATTGTTTTTCAAGTTTTATGTAATTTGTAACTAGTAAAAATAGCCATTCTACTCCCGTTTATTGTTTTTTAAATAAAACATTATATTAATTATAAAAAAAATCATTATTCATATGAATTAATTAGTATAAAATTATTTTAATTTAATTTAAAAAGTGATTTTGAGTTGTTTGAGTCTTAAATAATTGTTTCCAATAAATAATATATTGAAAAACATATTTTTTTTAGCTTATATATATATATATATAATTCTATCAATTTTATAATTTTAGTCTTATAAAAAAAATTCATTTCGGTCTTTATAAAATCTCATTTTATAATTAAAGTCTTTTATAAGATCTCATTTTATAATTTTTTTTAAATCTTAGTCATTGATATTTTTAATAATTTATTATGAAAATACTGTCTGAAATTAAACCATAAAACAAAGATCAAAATCAGTTAAAAAAAAACTAAAATCATATCATAAAAAATATTAAAGAAATTAAAAACATATTTTTACTCGTTTTTAATTATTAAATTTGATATCAAAATTCATGTAATAAAATTTTTTAAACCATTAATAATAATATCATTACTGATTATCCATCCAAATCAAGCAGAAAAAAACAAACAACAAACCCACCAGACTGAGATATCATCACACACACACACACAAAAAAAAAAAATAGAACCAAAATCCACCAAAAAAGAAAATGAAAGCCAGCAAAAAACAATGCATATGCATGTCTAGTATACAATTCAAAACTCAAAAAATATCCCCTCCATTTTCCCCTTTCTCTCACCAAACAATACAATTGATCCAATTCCCAATTCCATGGTTGGTATAGCCGTACAGTATCAAAATCAAAATAAAAATAAAAATAAAAAATAAATTATAAAACAGTCCTCTATGAATATTAATCACATTCCCAATTTCAAATTTCAAAACCAAAACTCTCTCTTCTCTCTCTCTCAGAGAGTCAGAGCTTCATACATAGCTTGAAAACTCCACTCCCAAATTCCACATGCCACAACAATGTCTCTTCTCAGCAGATTCTTCTACAAGCGCCCCCCCGATGGCTTACTCGAATTCTCCGACAGAGTCTACGGTAACATTCTCTCTATCTCTCTCTTCAATTCAACCCCATTTTTCAAAATTCCCTTTTTTAATTCCCCTTTTCCTTTTCCTTTTCCCCTTCGCAGTCTTCGATTCCTGCTTCTCCACCGAAGCATTGCCCGAAGGAATGTACACCCTCTACCTCCGCCAAATCCTCGCCGACCTCCACGAGGACTTCCCGGAATCCTCCTTCCTCGCCGTCAATTTCCGCGACGGCCAGCGCCGCAGCCACTTCGCCGAAGTCCTCTGCGACGCCGGCGACGTCACCGTCGTCGACTACCCCAAGCAGTACGAGGGCTGCCCCCTCCTCCCCCTCTCCCTCGTCCACCACTTCCTCCGCCTCTGCGACACGTGGCTCGCCGACACCGCGCACAACGTGATTCTCTTCCACTGCGAGCGAGGGGGGTGGCCCCTCCTCGCGTTTCTGCTCGCAGGGTTTCTCGTCTTCCGAAGGGTGCAGGGTGGTGAAAGGAGGACTCTTGAGATGGTTCATAAGGAAGCTCCTAAAGGGCTGTTGCAGCTCCTGTCGGCGCTGAACCCCTTGCCGTCGCAGCTGCGGTATATTCAGTATGTGGCGCGGAGGAACATTGCGGCGGAGTGGCCGCCGCCGGAGAGGGCGCTGTCGCTGGACTGTGTTATACTGAGAGGGGTTCCCGGGTTTGATGGGGGGAATGGGTGCAGGCCCTTCTTTAGGATTTTTGGCAGGAATTTGCTTAGTAAAGGGGGGCTTTCAACGCAGATGATTTATAACATGCATAAGAAGAAGAAGAGTTTGAGGCATTATAGACAGGTTTTGTGTGTGTGTTTGTGTGTTTGGTTGGTTGAGTTTTTAATGGGACAAAACTTGTATACAGTTGCTTAGGTTCGTCTGGTGGTGTTCTCCAATTCTCTTTGTGTGTGTGGTTGGTTGAGTTTGTTTAGTGAGCAAAATATATGTATATTACTGGGATGAAATTCTAATTCTGATTGAAAAATAACAGTAGAAGCAACTAAGGAACTGTATCTAAGTTTCGTCCTTTATTGTGTTGTGTTGTGTTGGTTTGTGTGTGTGTGTGTTAGTTGATGCTGGAATGAATGTGTTGTGTTTTTATCTCAGGCAGACTGTGATGTGATCAAGATTGATATTCAATGTTTAGTGCAAGGGGATGTGGTGTTGGAGTGTGTGCATTTGGATTTGGATCCAGAGAGGGAAGTGATGATGTTCCGGGTGATGTTCAACACGGCATTTATTCGGTCCAACATATTGATGCTGAACACTGAGAATTTGGATATTCTTTGGGATTCAAAGGAACGGTATCCGAAGGGCTTTCGGGCTGAGGTGAGTTTGTGTTTTAGTGTTGTATGGATTATGAAAAATTAAAACTTTGACTTCTTGAAATTTAGGTTGTGATTTTTGGGCAGTTGGGTTATTGGTTATTAATCTGATCATGTAAACCTGGAAATTTAGGTTTTGTTTGGGGAGGTTGAAAGCATAAGTCCCCCAAGAGCTCCAACAACTATTTTAGATGGTGAGGTGAAAGGTGGATTGCCCATTGAGGCATTTTCAAGGGTTCAAGAACTTTTTAGTGGCGTAGAATGGGTTGAAAGTGGTGATGCTGCTGCTGTCTGGCTGCTCAAACAGCTTACGGTCTTAAATGATGCCAAAGAGTTTTCTAGGTTTCAAGGTAGAGGAAGTTGGTACTCATCACCTGCAGACTCTGAAGAAGAAAATAATGAATCGAGCACTGCTGATAGTTCAGATGAGGCCTTTGATGTTATTCCCAGGTCTTCTGCTGATCACTCGAGATTTTTGACATCTGACACCCCTGATTTGGTCCATTTAGCTTTTGAGAACAATGGTGGAGATTATGTAAATCTAACTTCAGGAACACCTGATCAGTTATTGACTGATAACGTTTCATCAGCTCATCATGCTCCAAGTAAGGAATATTCTCCTTGTTCGTCTCCACCATTGCCTTCGTCAGTTCCCACTACTAAACCTCTTCCAAAACCAGAACTACCACCTCCACTAACTTCTAATGAAGGCCACCCTTTAGCTCCATCTCCACATCCGATGGTTCAAACTGTGAACAATGCTTCTACATTGCTTTCAACTCCTCCACCTCCTCCTCCCCCTCCACCTCCTATAGGTTGCAATGCCAATATTGCTCCTAGTCCTCCTCCACCACCTCCTCCTCCTCCTCCTCCTGGTCATGTACAAACAGGTTCAATCCCACCGCCTCCTCCTGCAGGTCCTGTGCAAATAGGTTCAGTCCCACCACCTCCCCCTCCTCCTCCAGGTCCTTTTCGAACAGGTTCTGCCCCACCACCACCACCACCTCCACCACCTCCTCCCCCTCCTCCTCCAGGTCCTGTACGAACTGGTTTGGCCCCACCACCTCCTCCTCCTCCTCCTCCAGGTCCTTTCCGAACAGGTTCTGCCCCACCACCTCCACCTCCACCTCCCCCAGGTCCTGTACAAATGGGTTCAGCCCCACCACCTCCACCTCCTCCTCCAGTCCCTGTAAGAATGGGTTCAGCTCCACCACCTCCACCTCCTCCTCCAGGTCCTGTACAAATGGGTTCAGCCCCAACACCTCCACCTCCTCCTCCAGGTCCTGTACGACCAGGTTCAGCCCCACCACCTCCACCTCCTCCTCCCCCAGGTTCTGTACGACCAGGTTCAGCCCCACCCCCTCCACCTCCTCCTCCAGGTCCTGTACGACAAGGTTCAGCCCCACCACCTCCACCTCCTCCTCCAGGTCCTGTACGACAAGGTTCAGCCCCACCACCTCCACCTCCTCCTCCAGGTCCTGTCCGAACTGGTTCAGCCCCACCACCTCCACCTCCTCCTCCAGGTCCTGTCCGAACTGGTTCAGCCCCACCACCTCCACCTCCTCCTCCAGGATCTGTAGGAACTGGTTCAGCTCCACCTCCTCCTCCTCCTCCTAGTTTACGAACAGGTTCAGCTCCACCACCACCACCTGCGCCAAAGCCTCCAAGTGCTCCTCCTCCTCCACCCGGCCGTGGTGCACCATCAGTTCCACCTCCACCTCCTGCAGCTAGGGCTTCTGGTGTGGCACCACCACCAGGAAAAGCTTCAACAAATGTTGGAAGAGGTCGTGGTACTGCTACTGCTCCTAAGAAAACTTTGCTGAAACCCCTACATTGGGTGAAAGTTGCTCGAGCTGCCAAGGGAAGTCTATGGGCTGATTCACAGAAACAGGATAGTGAAACAAGGTACTGATTGTTGAATTTTCATATGGATATCAGACATGATTTTCCTAAGAATTTTTTTATAGTCACTGGAAATTGTCATTTATATTTATATTTTGTGGGATCACATTATGTATTGTAGTTGCAGGTACTATTGTTTAATTCTTTGTAACCTCCCCTTCGATTGATAGGAGTTGGGGAGGGAAGGATGCAATGCCTATTTAGCATTTCTGATTTTAAATGATGAAATTTTTGTTAGGGCCCCTGAGATAGATATATCAGAACTTGAGAGTCTGTTTTCAGCAGCTTCTGCTTCTGATGGGAACAGTACTAAAGGTGGAGCTCGTCGTGGTCCTAATATTAAACCTGAGAAAGTACAATTGGTAAGTTACTCCTTGTTTACATAAACTATTTTATCAACTATTGCTTAAGAGTTTATATGCATGATTAGAAGATACGATAATGGTAATCAGGAATTACTCTGGTATTAAAATGGTCATCAAAAGAGGCAATAACCATCATAACTGCTGTCTCTGATTGATTTTTTCTACTCTTGCTAATTGTGTGTTAAATAAGAAAGAAAAAAGCACCAAAAAATTGATTGCTAAAAAGTGTTTTACTGGATTGATGTACAATTATCTGTTGAAACAAATATTCAATATTGCAGTTTGCTTGGGTGTTAAGATACGATATTTTTTCTGTCTAAACTTACTTATATGCAGTTACTGTAATGTTTTATTTACCTCTTCATTTTGTCTTATTTGTTCTATTTAATTAGTTAAGGAAATTTATAACTAATAAACTCAAATTCTTTTTTTTTTTTTTTTTTATACTGTCAGATTGACTTGCGTAGAGCATATAATTGTGAAATAATGCTCTCTAAAATCAAAATTCCTTTGCCAGATATGCTTGTAAGTTTCCCTATCCTTGTTCTCAGTTTACATGGGTTTTGTTTACTCTATGAAATTACCTCTTTTATTCAAGTTTCTGATGTTTCTCTGCTGCATCACATTGCAAATCTGAAGTGAGATGTATTCTAAGAATTTTTAGCACAAACACACATACTTGATGTATTTAGGTAGATACCAATGTAGTCCATTTATCCATGTAGGTGCCAAATCTTATAGATGAAATTGTAGACTTAAGACTCAACTCAATTGTATGAAAGGATACAGATACCACATGGAATTGGATTTCTCAGGAGGAGAATTCCTTGTGCTTCTATTTTGTTTATCACAAAAACGGATAAAAGTAAAAAAAACCTAATGGAGGAAAATCCATGTTGTATTTATTTTTCTTAATTAGTGTGAATGCATCCAAGTATTCTAGTTTGGTTCTGTAGCAGGACATTTTGAGTGATAAAGTGCATTTGTTGCAGTTTTCTTGAAGGCTACTTTGAGTGAGTAGTTTGATCAATTTGTTGAAATGATTACTTTATATTGAATCTTCAAGCAAAAAAGGAATGTTAAGAAGCACCATGGCAGATTGGTTTTACTCGTTTTATTTTAGTTGAAAGAAAAGTCCAAGTATAATTGTATAAATATTCAAATATAGCCACAAATGTCATTAATTGATTCTTCTAATTTTCTTTGAGTAAGTTGTTTGTTCTTTTTGTTTTGGTTTGCTTTAGGAGTAACTGTCAAATTCCTTCTGCATACTTCTCTTGTTTATTTCCTACGCGAATTATTTTTGTATGAAAAAACTTTGAATAAGGTTTCTTATTTGTTTGGAAGTCTATTTTTCTAACTCCACTTTTACAAAATACAGACCCATGCATTTGAGTTAATTTGAGTTTGGATTTGGCTTAATTTGAGGTCCAAAACTTATTTCTTTTGGGCACTGAGAGTTTTTGAGGGAAAAAGAGAGTATTTTCTCTGAAAAAAGCATTCCTAAAAACATGCACTTAGTATGATGATTATACGTTTTATACCTGTTTACTTTTGAAAGTTTACTTCAGAGGTTTTAGATAACATCATCAAGGAGGACATTTTTCCATTGTTGAAAATGTCAAGTTTAACCTTTGAATTGATTAGACCTGTAGTTGTCAGTGATTAACTGATTTAACGTTTGAAAGTTATGGCATTAAATGAGGTTATTAATCTTGCAAGAGTTCATTATTATATTGAATAGGTGATGGATTTTGTGAGCATTTCTCATTTGATGTTTTAAAAACTTGCGTAATAATAACATTTTAACTAAGTTTTTTTTAATCTAAATCTTAATTCACTTTCACTTCCATTTGTGATGAAGGTTGATTTTAGATGGCATATTTTTTTCATCTTTGCTCTTAATAGTTGTCATTTTTTGGGGGTTTTGTTTTTGATTTCAGAAAGCAGTCCTGGAATTGGATTCTTTGGTTTTGGATATTGATCAGGTTGAGAATCTCATCAAGTTCTGTCCCACAAAGGAAGAAATGGAGATGTTAAAGGTACTCCTCTGCTCCCCTCCCCTGTGCAGGAACCTTTAAAAATTGTGTGAACTGTAATGTCTTACATCATTTAATATCATGGTTTCTGTGAATTCTATCTTGGTTGCAATATTTTAACCTTCATATTCCTTTTTACTTGGTTCCAGCATCAAAATCTTGAATTATTTATAATTGTATATTTGTGTGAATCGCTGTTGCCATCTTAGCTTCATTCAGTGACAATTTTTAATAAGTACATGAAGCTTGTTTTCGTATGACTTTGACTTTAATTTATTTTGTTATGATTTAAATATGATAAATTCTTAATTATATGATCTAAGAAATGTATGAGATGTTGCAATTTCTAATAGGATTTTTTTATATATAAATATTGTTTTCTTGGCTAAAATCTTTTTGTTTTCAGAATTATACGGGAAACAAGGAGATGCTTGGAAAGTGTGAACAGGTTCTCTTCCTGATACATTTTAGTCAATGAATCCTTGCAAATTATTTATGCTGATTTTAATATTATTTTCTTTCTCATCAGTTTTTTATGGAGCTGATGAAGGTTCCACGTGTGGAATCCAAATTAAGGGTTTTTGCTTTTAAAATCACCTTTTCTTCTCAGGTATGTTGTCTAAGTTATGATTATCTGTGTATGGCTTTTTTGCAACAATATTTCATGTTTAAAGACTTGTTTTTCTTGCTTCCTCAGGTGAACGATTTAAAGTCAAATTTGAACACAATCAACCATGCATCCAGAGAGGTACTGTTTAATGGCTTTTAGTTAACAAGCATGAAAGCATTATTTTGCTGCTTCTTTACTTTTTTTCCGGTGCTTTCAGGTGAAAGAATCTGGAAAATTGCGTCAAATAATGCAGACTATTCTTACATTGGGCAATGCCTTGAATCAAGGAACAGCACGGGGTATCTTTTTGTTAACTCTAGTCCTACTTGAGTGTAATTTGAGATAGATTTTTAGTTTCCATTTCACCTCCCATCATTGACAAAATTAGAAAGTTTCTGCTATGCTTTTTAGATTTTATCTTTTTATGTTGTTCATTGCAGGATCAGCAGTAGGATTCAAATTGGATAGCCTTCTTAAATTATCGGATACTCGTGCAAGAAATAACAAAATGACTTTAATGCATTATTTGTGTAAGGTAGATATGCTTAAGTCTTATTGTATCTTTTAGGTAGTTGTGGTCTTTTCCAACCCAGTTTAAGTACTGATTGAAACTATATGGAAGAAAAGGCCTGTATTGTTTATGGGCATTATTCAAGGCTTATGGAAGAAATCTAAATCTATTATTTTCCTTTACTTGGCTACATCTATCTCAATATTGGGAGTGTAAAAATACATCATTTGTTTGTCATTGATGCTGCTTTTGATATGATAAGACACCTTACAAAAATATTCTTGTCTCTTTAGCTTCTCGCTGAGAAAATGCCAGAATTGCTAGATTTTGACAAGGATCTTGTCCATTTGGAAGCAGCTTCTAAGGTACTATCTGTCACTAATGTTTTCATTAACCTTATTGATAATAGATGTATTCCTGACCTGATGATCTTATGTAACATTACTTGCTTATGGATTTATGCTAAATATCTAGATTCAACTAAAAGCATTGGCTGAAGAAATGCAAGCTGTGAGTAAAGGTTTAGAGAAAGTTGAGCAAGAACTCATTGCTTCTGAAAATGATGGTGCTATATCTACAGGATTTCGTAAGGTGAAAAGTTAAAAATGTTGGCTTTTGCCCATTTGTGATATATTGCTCTTCTCAAAGATACTTCCTTACTAGAGAACATGAATGCTTGTCCTATTGAACACAATAATAGAAGCATCAAAACATTCTTGTATTATATTTCGTCTTATCCATTCCTCAGCATCTCAACACAAAAATATATACATAAAAGAAATAGAAGCCTCAGCAGCAATTCTAGCTTGAGTCTAATTCATTCTATGAAAAAACTAAAGAAAATCATGAGGGCATGCATTCAAGGCATCAAATCTAAACCAGATGTTTCCTTTGGTTACATGATTTCATCTGCATGAAAAGTGAAAACTAGTGCTATGATTTTTACCAATAGATTGTAATATGGTTAGCAACTTCTATATCTTTGATGCTATTTTTCAACATCTCTGAATCTTATAATTTGGTACAAATTATTATTTACAATTAAAAAATTAGGTTTGCATTTTGCAATTCACAATTTGGAAACCTTGTTTCTCAGTAATGTTTCTCTTGCTCAGGTGTTGAAGAATTTTCTTGATATTGCTGAAGCTGATGTGAGGTCCCTTATATCTTTGTATTCTGAAGTGGTGAGTAAAGTTATGATTGTATTCTGAGTCCTGTAATAGTTATATTTGCTCACTTTCTCCTCTTTTTTCTTGTTATAGTTATAGTTAAGTTTTAGACTTGGAGATTGCATCCTCCGATGATAATTTGATGCACCATCATTGATAATTGTCATTAGTCAGGACTATATCGATAACTAAGTATGCCAACTACTTATTTTCTGATTTTGGTCTTTAAATCTTTCTTTTCCAGGGAAAAAGTGCAGACTCTTTGTCCCAGTACTTTGGAGAGGATCCAGCTAGATGCCCCTTCGAACAAGGTCTGATGTTCTCTTCACTATACACACAAACACAATACCTGAGTTTATTTTTTGGTTGCAATGATTATGTAGAAGAGCCCTTGTTTTGGGTTTGGGTTTATGAAATTTAAAACTTGCATTGCTTAAACAATGCAAATATGTCTTGACTATGGACGAAGAGAATAACCAATTTTTCTCGCCCAGGTTTTTAAAATACAAGTGTTATCTTAGGCTCTATACCAGGCTACATGCGATGTGGGCATGCTATTTTATCTTTTGTTTTTTTATTCTGATTATTATTTCCTTATGGTATTGCATCTCTGATTTATAGCCTTTTAAAGAAGCAAAACTGCATAAATCCTCAATTATGTAGTAGAGTTCTGCTGGGCTCTGAGGAATTAGGACAATCTTCACCAAGTAGGGACTGGAAGATTTATTCCACTCCATAGCTTACTTTTTGCTTGGGTTTTTAGTTGTGTAGCAACATGTTCTCCTTTAGTTGCCGGAATATGCAATGGTTTTGATGTCCGGATGGATGCACCTTTCAGAAAAATGCATGGTACTATTATTGCCCCTAAGAGGGTCAACCTGGGTTCAACAGTAAAGTTGCTGCCTTGTGACCTAGAGCTGGGGGCAAGGCTACATACATTTACCCTCCTTAGATCCTGCTAGGTTGGAGAACCTTGTGCACTGGGCCAACGTTGCTCATAAAGCTGAGTTTTGGTTTCTTTTGAAAAGATTATGTTGACTGCTAAATTGGTGTTCTTGTTGCAGTGACACAAATCCTTGTTGTCTTTGTCAAGATGTTCAACAAGTCGAGGGAGGAGAACGAAAGGCAGGCGGATGCTGAAAAAAAGAAATTAGAGAAAGAAGCCCTGAAAGAAAGAACAGCAAATAACTTGCATCCCAAAAAAGACACTGTTCGTTAGATGCCTAAACAAGCAAGTTGCATGGTTACTCTCAGTTCAAATGCACTGCGTTATACGTTCTGGATTATCTCAAATGCAATTCATGCATATTTGCATGCATCATCGGGGTTTATTCCTCCTAAAGATGATGCTGGCCGTTGGACGCCTGTGATGATTAATCAGTTCCTTATAGTTGGATCAACGTGCCTCTCCCATTGTGCTGCAGTGCTGCTAAAGGAGAAATACATGAACAGGCTGCTGGTCTTTTGTAATTATACCACAAGGCAACTCATATAGAAAAATCACGCTTTCTTCCTCTTTAAAATGTAGAGGCCATAAATAATTTTTTGAAGTTCAATTTTTCTTATGCTTTAGAACATTGCAGTTCTCCTTTTTTGTAATCTAGCTGCAGATAGTTTTTGTATTCAAAAACACTTTGGATATATGATAACGAATTCTCCCCCTGTAAGATATAAAACCATAATCATCAATCAATATTCATTGCTGAATAAAGGTGTCAAACAGCAGTGTTAACTGTACAGACCCCATGCCGGGTGTTTCTCTTTTGCTCACAAATCATCTATTTTGAAGACGAACACCGTTTCCGTAATTTGACGGGTTTTTAACTGAGTGACTTGATAAATATGAGAATATTCCAAATTTTACATATAAGGATACTATTAAAGAGATTTATTTTAAACTGCCAATATATTTAAATAATGACATGACAACTTTGATTAAAAACAATGGTTACTCAGATGGTAAAATTGGAATTGGAATGACGGAATGTTCAAGTAACACAGCATTGCGAGGGTTTGGACCTTGGATATATCTAACTTAAAATAATCTCCCAAACCACCTATAATATGATTTCACCCCTATTATTTTGGCTATTTTGAGCATTCAAGACCAGGAATTAAATTGAATTTCACTCGCTCACATTACCATGATCACGTGTTTTTCTTTGTGATTATTAAGCTCATCATCCATCATAGACAGTTAGCTTTGCGGCATTTCAGTCATTTGTGTATATACACTAACATCACTAACATGTGATTCGTTTATTAGGTTGAGACAAATAAAATGCTCTATTTATGTTTGAACCTGAATAGCAAAACACATTTTTGTTTGCGAAAATGATTCCTGTCCCTTGGGATCTTATGCAGGAAGAGAACAAGCCTGTTGCTCTGAGGCTTCCAATTTTTTGGCCTTTCCCTTCTCAAGCAAGTAGTGTCTCTCTGCTTCTGGTATTGCCTGAATGATTGTCTGCAACTTGAAATTTAACTCCTCCACCTTTTCCATGAGCCTGTCATTTGTAAACATGCCCATAATAACAGTCTGGATGGTTTCCCAGCTCTCCATTATTGGTAAAACTATTATCACTGCAGAACCAACAGTACCCCATCCTATAGCAATTACTGCCCAGAAATAGAAGTAGCCCTTACTAAACTCACCTGTGATAAGGAACAAATAAGAGTGCAAGAGACCAAATCAGATATGTTAACCACTTCTGAGGAAAACAAAACTTTGCTTATAATTGGGTCTAAGAATGACCATGAAAAGAAAATCATGGTCAAATGTTTGGTTATTTAACTAAAAGTTACCTGCTGGGAGGGAGAGAATAGGCCATAGTATGACTATCAAAACAGTGAAACCAACACCCCACTTCACCACCCATGCTTTAGCACTTATCAGCTTTTCTTCTTTAAACTCTTCTGCTGGCAGGTTAGTCTTTTCCTTTTCAACCACTGTGATTTGCTTGGTGGTACTCCAGTCATAGTTCTGAGGCCACAGCATGCTGCAGATAGCATGAACAACTCCTCCAGTTAGTATAGAGACAAGGTTTCCAGCAAGCATTGGTGCATTTCTGCCTGTTGTATCGAGATTTATCCGGCCATATTGTACTTTTGTAACAGACAACCATGTGATAATTCCTAAAACACAACCTAACACTGTTCCAAGAATGGCTCCTATTGCATTTGCTTTTCTCCATAGAAGCATAAAAGCTATAGGAAGAACTGCTGAGCCAATCAGAACTCCCATTGCAAGGTACATCCATCCTAAAGAAACTCCAGCCTTGTTCAGTATGACTGCTAGCAACCCCATGAAACACCCGAAGCCCAAGACAACACCCCTTGACACTCGGAGGATTTTATTTCCACTTGCATTAGGATTTATGTAAGTTCGGTAGATATCATACGTGCATAACGAGGAAACCGCAATTAGTTCTGATGAACCAGCAGAAGTCACTGCCCTGATAAGTATATCAAAAGTCAAAACCATCAAAAAGTAAAACTAAGAGGCTTGATAATTTTCATACAAGTCTTAAAGCAAATAAACTAGTTATTTTGTATGCTATTTCAACCTTATATAGAGCTTGTTTGGATACAAATTTAAAATAATTTTATGAATTTTTTTTACTGAAAATGAGAAGTTATTTTTAGTAAAAAAATTCTCAAAAGTTCGTTTAAGCTTGTAGCGAATGGGATGCTGATTGTAACTTACATAAAAAGCATGGTGAGAAGAAGAATAGATCCTCCTTTTCCCATCAAAGCCACGGCAGTAGCAGGGGGAACAAGTCCGCGACCTGCCTCACTTTCATTTATTGGTAAATCAAGGGCCAGAGCTCCTAGACCTAATGATGTAGCCAAAGAAAATGGCACAGCAAACCAGACCAAGCCTCCCAACAAGTAACCCTTATGAGTTGATGAAGGTCTTGCAGCAATGGCACTCACCCAATATCCCTAAGCATTCCCCATTTGAAGAATCAATAGTGGCAAACCCAAATAACAGGAAGAAAAAAAACAGCACAAGTTATAAACATGCATGTTCATAGCATACTTTTATCCTTACATACTTGAACTTGAAATTAAAAAGAACTGACGATGGAAAGGCAAATCTCTTAATGCATGCTTACGTTGTCAACAAACACAGTGCCAAAGTTGCCAACAATGTTTATAATCCCAAAAACTAAGCCACCTGAACTCAGCATTGTTAGGTAAGAACCTTTGTGGTTCCCACCAACAGGACCACAAGATTGCCCTTGGTGTGATATAGGATCCTGACATATTCTTGATTTGCTTGCAACCTCTAGCAGGCGATTGTAAACAACAGAAGGGCTGCCAAGCTCACTGCTAGCCGTATATACAAGGTAGACAAAAATTACCAAAACAATGTGCACTGAAAAGTGAAAAAGAAACAAATTCCCAGTTTAACAACAGTATTCATGAATATAACAAAATGTAGATATTGTTGGGAGTAGAAACCTATGACAGAATGGATATAGCTTGCTAAGAACGTGGCCTTGAGTCCACCCGCTAGTGTATAGACAATTACTCCAAGTGGTATTAGAAAGCTAGCAGCATAAATGTTCACTCCAGTTAATGCATTTACAACAGCAGAACCACCAAGGAGCAACATAGCCGTCACAATTATATTCGTCAAGAAGCAGAAAAAGAGGAAAACAACGTGCGCAGAAGTCCCCCAACTGAGGTAAAGAAACTTTGTTATCACTAAAATGATTTGACCATAATCTTGCACTTGAGACATGAAATAAAAATACTCTAAATGTCCAAACAATGTAACATACCGGGCCTTGACAATTTCACACACAGTATGAGCATGAGGAGCCTTTCTTTTAATCTCTATAGCCATGATTCCAAACAACAATACCTGTTCATTTTCAATGCATTATAAACTTTCAGCCTTCACTTTCCAAATTCCAATATACCAAGATATCGAAGAAAAAGAGATACTCTCTCCTTCGTCATTTATATAACAAAGAAATAACTAATTTATCCAAATTAATAAAAGTAGTTAAGATGATTAATTTTTGTTAATATTGTCACAAAATTAAATTTTATTTCAAAAATACCCATTGAATTAAATGGTTAAAATAGTAGTTGTATATACACTTAATTTAAGAGATAACTTTTTCAATCAATAAAAAAATAAACACAACCACTTACATAAAGATATAAAAGAAAATTAGTAAGTAATATATCTTAAAGTAAGTCTTTATTTATTATAATTAAGACTAAAAAAGGGTATGCATCTGTTTCTTATATAAAGGACAGAGAAAATATAATATAGGGTTCATACCTGGATGGTAGCCCCACTAGCATACCAGAAAGGTCCACTGACCCCGTATTCCCATGCAACATTAGAGCTTTGCAGGATTGTAGCAGCCCATGTCCACTGCACAAAATCATTGTAAGAATAAAGACATAAAAAGTGGAACTTCAAACTCATCAAAGCATGCAATATGAGGCTATCTGAATCCATTACCTGAGACACGATGACACTAGCAATAAGCCCAGTCTTGACACTTCTGCCTGCTGTATTGAACCATTCAGACGTGTGACGTGACCCAACATACCGCTTCTCCAGCCACACCTGATCCACAATAAGGTTTGTACCAAATAAATTGATTGTATAACTTAAAGGCTTCCATACAACTCTAAAGAGTAGTGGAGCCAGAACTATGAGAGTATAAAAAAAACTGTAATTACGATAACAGTAAATACTCAAATTAGTCCCTGAATTTAAAAAATATTATCATATTAGTCTCTAAAACTAAAAATTTGTTATACATTCTTAAAAATGCAAGTTGCCGGTCATATTAATTCAAAACTCAAAAAAAATGTGTGACTATAATATTAATATTAATATATATATATATATATATTTATATATTTAGGGATAAAAAGATAATAAGTAATTTAAGAACTTACTTAACATTTTAGAAACTTATTTAACAAATTTGGAACCAATATGACAGTGCCTTCCGAATTTAGGAACCAAAGTAGGTATTTACTCATATGAGAAAAGCATGAAAAGGGTTGGCAGTGATTTTTTACTTCTTCCGAAGGATCAAAATAAGTAGAGAAGGAACACATTTGAGGATTACTAACCAAGAAAGAGGTGAAGACAGCAAAGAAAGCACCAAAACCAAGAATGACAGAGTAGCCAACTCCCTGATTTAGCACTGGTTTGCCTTCAAAGAAACTGGTCTGCCTCACACACACTCCTCCATTTTCAGATACATGATAGTACTTGCTTGAAAATTCAAAAGGTGGACACCCTGATGCAGAAGCCATGAAAGAAATTGCTTTAGTTACATGCTAATCATCAATCATCCAATAAAATTGGAATATTATTGTAGATTGGAAATTTTGAGGCTTATGTCTAGCTGGGTACAGGGAAGGTAGTAAGTCAAACTAAGAGGGTATCTAACTATTTTAATCAAAGGAATCTATAGGTCGGATTCTTTTATGGAACTCTTTTGGTCCAAGTGTTGAATTATTGGACACATTATTTTGTCAGCATTTCTCAGAGTAAAGACTAAGGAGTCTCTCTGATTGGATGGCTATATTGCCAAAAGCAAATTAATGCTACAAGTTCAATTGTTGCTGTTATTATTAGTACGAACAGTTGACTCTATATGATTTGATTCCTAAACACATTTCTCAGCTGGAATCAATGTGATTTTTGTCTTTGATTTTTTTATTTTTCATAACTTCTGCTAATTTCATTTCTCAAGTGATTTGTCTCATTGTGCAAATACTAACTATGCAAATCACTGTTTTTTTTTTTTTTTTTTTTTTTTTTTTTTTTTTTACTTTAATAATGTATTAAAATTAAATTTATATTTTTGTATCTTTTCTTTTTGTGAAGTTAATGCTCATTTATAATTTTTTATTCACTTTAGAATATTTAATACATTAAATTAACTTCGTATATTCTTTTAAAACGTGGCACTTGAATCTCGAGGGTTTCAAGGTTCTCTTTTGTTTTGCGTTTTTCTTTTTTAAATGTCTCCTCTGCCCTCACTTTGTATTATTATTAAGACTAAGGGAAAGAGGTACCATGTGTTTTTAATTTTTTAAAATAAAAAATAAAAGAGTAAGGTGATTATTGTGTGAGTAGTGAGTGAAAGAACGTAGAATTAATCATCTATACACTATTAGTATAAAAAATTTTACACTGACAATTAATCATATCTTTTAAAATTGCTTATTTTATTATTATTTTATTAAATAAGCAACTAACATGGTACTAGTAAAAGATATGATTGGTTATTAGTGTAAAAAGACTTTACACTGACAATATATAAGTGATTAACTCTAAAACATAATCATAAAAGTGAAAAGTTGTAGAAATGAAAGAAAAAAGTGTAAAAAAGAAATAAGGATAATTAATATATTTACACGTGCTTGAGGTTAAAATTGTCTTACAAAAATGGAAACAAAATGCTGTTAAAAGTTTTAGTATCCTCTTGTTTATGGATATAAATAAGATAACATCTGGTAATGTAAACTTCTCTTTGCTTCATTGGAATTTTTTTCTCTTTATAATATATGCAATATTTCAAATTGATAATCAGTTAATGTAATTTGACCTCTCTCCATAAATTATCTATAACAAAAATAAGTTGATTGGAAATTTCGGTTTATAATTTCTTTAGATTAAATTATCCTTAATTGTATATATATTTTTTATTATTCAATCTCTATTTCTTCATGTTTGTATAATTGTTCCTCTTATTTACAGTAGAAACTCTTTAAATTAATAATGTCAGGACCGGAGAAATTTATTAATTTAGAGAGTTATTAATTTATCGATAAATTAATAATTATTAATTTAAAGAGTTTTTAAGTAATTATACTGTACATACCAAATAAAAAGACAAATTAATTTATGCCTCTTAGAATTACATTGCAGCGAACTTTAGGACTCAACGTAAATTAGTAACTTTTGAAGTACATATGCATTGAAAATCAATACGTAATGACTTTTGAAGTATATATGCATTGGAAATCAATAATGACTTTTAAAGTACAGTAAATGTAAACAAGAGGAACAAATGTATTCAATGTATTCTTAAGCAAGTTTGGCATATATAAATTACATGAATGTGTTAGAGTATTCAAACCATATCTCACAAGATGGCTTCTCATCTAAAAGGTGTTGTAAAATCAACTATGTCAGATCAAATACGTAAAGAGTTGTGTGAGTATAAGAGAGATAATCCTGCAAGCACACAAAAAGACTTGTAGAGATGGCTTGAGGGAAAAATTCATTTGAAAGCTAAAACGTGTCGGTGTGCTCGGCCAAGTCACGAATTTACGCCATAATAATTATAGAGAGGTTAATTTATGTAATGCACTGGATTAGCCCCCTAATTTCCCGAGGCCCAGTCCTTAATTGCGGCCCAATAAGAATCACTATAAATAGGACTCCAGCGAGGTATGTAACTAACTTTTCAACTACCGCATTTAATACGCCGAACACTTACTTGAGAGGGATAATTGTACGTTTTAAACGCAAGATATTATCTTAAGTGATTGTCTAAATATATTATTTTAATAAAATTGATTGAATAGTTAAAATTTTATCCGATAATTATAGTCGGAGAGAATATATTCCCTATAGTTCAGGGATAATTGTACGTTTTAAACGCCAGATATTATCTTAAGTGATTGTCTAAATATATTATTTATAGCTGATATTAAATGTTTCTTAACTTCTAAACATTAATATTAAATATTATTTCATGAATCCTGATTAATTGATATTATTACAATTTTTATGTTAATTTTATTATTTTTATTTTAAATAAAAAATAAAAAATTTAATCTTTTTTTTACTGTTTGCCCAGAACGGGCCGTTCCAAAACCAGAACGGCCCGTTCCAAACCAAGGTCTACTTCCTGAAAACGTCCTCCGGAACGTGCCGTTGCATGGCCGTAAAAAGGCCTCTGTGTCTTTAAGCAGAACGGCCCGTTCTGCTTTCGGAACGGGCCGTTCCACTTCCAAAATTTGCCCAAAATGGGCCAGAAACACGAAAAAAAAAAATTTAAAGTAACTCAGAATTCGGTTCCCCGGGAACCGAATTCTGAGTTGAAAAAACAAAAAAAATAAGATTTTGAAGCTCAGGGAACCGAATTCTGAGCATGAACAGTAAACAGTTCTACATTGGTAAATAAACCTGCATAGTTGATATTTTTATAATTTTTTTTAAAAAAATATTATTTAAGTAAAAATTTCCGCATGAACCACACAATATGCGATTCACTCGGGCTTGTCCAATTTCTCACCATGGTCGGTGACATTGCAAGAGCTGCTCCTATTTCAAAGTTCCCTGTGTGGCAAAGAGAACTATTCAGTGCAAGGGACCCACCAAGAATCACTTTCCCACACCACGAATACGAGGATGAATCCCAACATTGCAACAAAGAAACATGGGACAGCCACGAAATGGCCCACGAGTCATTTTTGTTTGGGCCCAAAGAGATTGCATTCCTTCGGAATAATCACCTTCCTCACCACCTAAGGAAATGCTCCACTTTTGAGATACTCTCTGCTTGTTTGTGGAAATGTCGCACCATAGCACTTGGGATGAACCCAAATGAGACAGTGGGCTTGTCACCATTTATCACAGCTCGTGGGCAGATGATAAACACACCTTCACTCTCGTATAAACACATCCCCTTTTTAAAAAAAATATATATAAAATATCTAAATTACCCTTAAAAAAAATGAAATTCTTAAATTTACACTCCCTTCCCCGTACCCCCTTCCCGGCACCCCCCTTCCCCGCACCCTGCATTCTTGGCTTATAACTCCAGATGCTCCAATTGCATGGTTAATCATAGTTATTACAGTCTTTAAGAACAAAACCAAAAATGTGATTGTAGAAACAAGTCAGGCAGAAGCATTTGTTTAACCTTTTTTCATATGGCAATTATAAACAATGCACTAATTGTTAAAAAAAATTATTATCATGAACTGACAGAGACAGTGTCTCATGGGAAAAATGCTGCATATAATATAACCATGTTAAATTGAAAACTATATAAATATTAATCTATATCTACAAGAATTCATTCATACCGTTGGACCTGCCAACAAAGAAGTCCCTGAGTCTGCAATGGCTGAACAACCATCAGCATAATATCCTGATAGACAATTAGATCAGGTCAGACCAAATAAATTGAAACTATAACGCATTAATGAAAATGCCAACAATACATCATGGGAAGAACAACTTGTCACTTCTGCTAACACATTTTCTACACATACCAGTGGGTTTACCGGCAATAAGTACATCTCCCATATCAAACTGAAAACAAAAATGAAAATTAACAAAGAGAAAAATGTAAATAAAAAAAATATTAAGAATTAAAAAAAAAGTATAACCTGCCAATATCCTTTTCTGGTCACAGGCACGTAAGTGTGCTTTCCCTTATAGTGAGCAGGATCAACACCACCAAAAACAATCTCACCCCCTTCCTCTTCCTCTGGGTTGCGGTTGAACCAGAATGAAAATATCGGTTCCTTAATGATACCTTATTGCGGGGGTGCGGGGAAGGGGGGTGTGGGGTGCGGGGAAGGGGGTGCGGGGAAAGGGAGTGCCGGAAAAGGGGTGTAAATTTAAGAATTTTTTTTAAGGGTAATTTAGATATTTTATATATTATTTTTAAAAAGAGGGTGTGTTTATACGAGAGTGGAGGTGTGTTTATCATCTGCCCAGCTCGTGGTAAAGTGGGCCTGCAAGTGCCCAATGGGTACTACGGCAATGCCTTTGCCTTCCCGATGGCGATTTCCGAGGCAGGGCTTTTGTGTCAAAACCCGTTGGGGTATGCATTGGGCTTGATTAAAAAGGCCAAGGCCCAAATGAGTGCTGAGTACGCGAGTTCGATAGCGGATCTTATGGTTCTCAAGGGCCGGCCCATGTATAAAACAAGAGGAAACTACCTTATTGGGGACACTACTCATGTGGGGTTCTCTGATGTGGATTTTGGGTGGGGGAGTCCCATCTATGGAGGGCCTGCAGGGGCTATACCCTTTGTTAGCTTCTTTGGACGGTTTACAAACAGTGAAGGAGAAGATGGAATTGTGGTGCCAATTTTGTTGCCACACCATGTTATGAAGAGATTTCTCTATGAGTTGGTGAAGATTATAACTAAGGACCCAGTGGAAAAGTCTTGTAACAAATTGGCAAAAAGGTCCATGCTGTAACAATCTTGTTATGATAAAATGGTTCTCTTTCTCTACCAAAGATTGGTAGTTCAAAAAATAAGATTTAGTTTCAAACTTAGACATAAAATTGTGAGTAGAAGTACTACTTTATCTTTATAACTAACAGCTTAGTGGGAGGAAGTATACCTCCTAATAAAAAAATTGATTCTCTCTTTTTAACTTTTTATTTAGATAATTATATTCGTATGGTGGTTGACTAGGCCGAATACCTGAGTTTGTGGCTGACTAGGCCAAATACCCAAGTTCGTGGTCGACTAGGTCGAATACCCGAGTCCGTGGACGACCAGGTCGAATACCCGAGCCCACCGACCACTCACAATCTGAACGGAACGTGTCGGTGTGCTCGGCCAAGTCACGAATTTACGCCATAATAATTATAGAGAGGTTAATTTATGTAATGCACTGGATTAGCCCCCTAATTTCCCGAGGCCCAGTCCTTAATTGCGGCCCAATAAGAATCACTATAAATAGGACTCCAGCGAGGTATGTAACTAACTTTTCAACTACCGCATTTAATACGCCGAACACTTACTTTTTATCGAGTTTTTCAATTTTTTATATTGGCCCAAGTCGGGACTGGATAAATTTATTATTTTAGAGAGTTTATTAATTTACCGAATATTAATTTAAAGAGTTTCTACTGTATTTGATTTTTTATTTTGAAAACCTTTTTTTTTTTTTAATGTGCCCGTCTTCCCCCTTAATTCATTTTTGGATTTGCCCCTTTTGCTATATTTGGTGAGAAGCTGAGTTTAGGAGATCCAACTTCTTCACAAGTTTTTTTTTTTAATCTTTTGAATTGTTGAGAAATTAGGTCTCTCAAACTTGACTTTTCAATGGATTTTTTTTTTATTTTTTGTTAATATTGATTGTTTAATTAAATAAATTAATTACTTTGCTCGCTTCTATAGTTTTATCTACCTAGTTGTATTGCTAAAACTATTATGAATGAAATACAATAAGTTTGTTTGTCTAAAAAAAATTAATGTATTAATTAAATGAGCTAATTATGCTTAATTTAAAAAGATAAACATAGTTATGATTAAATTATTTATTGTAATTAATTCAACTAAATATTATATACATAACTATAATAGAAAAAATAAAAAAATTCAACCAATTATTAATTATTTGTTTATGTCAAAAAAAATATTTGTGTTAATTAATTTTAATGAGAACATTTAAGAATGTTCCTATTTGAAAATTAGTTGTTAGTACAAGTACCACTACCACATTCATGTAAAATTACAATTAATTTTTGTTTATATTTGATTTATAATAACATTGACTACTTTTGCTTTCTAATTCTTAGTTTCTTAGAATATGATATGTCTTAAATGAATCAACGTTCAACTGTTACAAGAACATACTACGTTTAGAGAGTCAAGAGGTAGCAAATTGGTTTGATTATATTCAAAAATAGCATTAGACTCGAAGATGGGATGAAAAATAATATGTTAAGAACATTTAGCCATCAATCTTGCAAAGTCCATAAATTCAACATTAAGGAAACATACATAAAACTTGCCAATAATTTCATTAGTCCAAACAACCTAATGTAGTTTAGCTAAATTGTTTGCGACAACAGAAAAATGTTTTTAACGTGTATAGAAAATCAGTGTATCACATAAATTATTGAGCACAACATGATGATTAAAAGGTGTGTCACAAATAATCCACAAATGTGAAAAAAAAAATCTTATGATTGTTTTCAATCGATATGCAATCGCATTGAAATTGACCTTCAAGATAGCCTAAATAAATTTTTGTATTGTAATTTATGTAATCTTTATTTAAATTACTTGAAATAAACTTGTATATTAGCTGGGTTAATTAAACCTAATGAACACACATAATGAACAAATTAATTAAATTAGTTGGTTTTTCCTATTTTTCTCCCAGTAATATTCATTTTAAATTAATTATAATAGATATTTTTAAATATAATTATGTTTATATTTTAAAAAGAAAAACTTAATTAATCTAACTCATTATCAAATTAATATATTGACTTAACTAATTTAATCAAACATTTAATATTGATTAGAAAAAGTTGAAAAATGGAGTTTAAAAGACCTAACTTCTCAACAGTAAAAAAAAAAAATAAAAGACTTATTTTTGTCTATGTAAAATAAGGAATTCTTTATTTTAGTTCCTTTAAAAAAAATTCAATTCGTTCCTGTAAAAAATTTTTGTTTCAACCTAATGACCAAGACTAAAATGAAACAAATTTTTTTTTATAGAAACAAAAATAAAATTTTTTTAAAAAATACTCTATTTTATTATAAGTAAAAGTTATTTAATGCAAAGTGAAAATATAATCGGTTGAGAAGTCAGATTTCGCTGAGCCAACTTCTCTTCGGATACAAGAAGGGTAGATCTGAAAATAATTTGGGGAGGGAAAATACTCGAAAATATTAAAATAAAAAATCCCTATATTTTTTTTAAATACCCTTTAATTGCATATTCTCAATTTTTATTTAACCTCCGGTGACATTTGTATATAAACCACTTTTTCCCCTTCTTTTCTTGTTTCTTTTTAATTTATTAAAAAGTTACAACTATTCTTCACAATTTTATGTATGTTGGTCATCAATATAATAATAACCTAATTATCTAAGACTAACATACATATCATTTTATTTAAAAAAATAAAAATACAGCTAGTATAAAATAATACAAGTGCAGGTATCTCACACCAATATTCTATATTAAAAGTGTTTCGTGAAATGGCTTGTACAAATTTACTTACTTTCTTTTTCGATTCAAGGAGTCAAATTTGGTATTTGATAAAGTTGATTAATTTTATTGATTCAAAATTGACTCAATTAAGATCATATTTAGAACAAAAATAAATCAATTTAATTTATTGTTATGATATATTGATTTTAGAATTATGCATATACATTGTTAATTTTAAATTTATATATATATATATATTAAAACAAATGAAATTAATATATATATATATATATATATATATATTATACCATTAGTTAAAATAATATTTATTAAGTCAGAAATATCATACCTTTTAATAGAATAAGTAATTAATATTAAATCGAGTCTAGATAACTTATAACATAACATAAACTCATTATTTTAAAAAATATATTGAATTCAATTTTTTAAACTTAAAATTATTTAAAATACTATCAAATATCAACTATATAGTCTATCTTATTTTATATACTTGATCTTTCCTTTCTTACTCTTAAGTCGGTTTGTATGCAAAAGATATTTCTCCCAACATGTTCCGCAAATGTGGGCCATACAATTTGACTTGACTTGAACGACACGAAACTCCTTTTATTGTTTTTCTTTTGAAGAGATTCATATTTCATTCTACATTTCTACTTGCTCCCCAAGAAATAACCAACTACTATTATACATTAATAATAAATGATGTCTGTTATAAAATACAGATATGCTGCATTAACAGCTAAGAATTTTTTTAATTATATTATTAGTATCAAATATTTATTAAATTTAAAATATTATTTAAAATAATTGAATCTAATATTACTTAAATTAACAAAATGTTAATACAATTATTAAAGTTAACAATATACAAATAAAAAAATGTTATACACAATAATTACACTATTATCTAACCATAAATTATAATATATATTTATTAATTTTTATAATAATTATTTAAAAAATGTTTTTTATTAGTTCATGACGTAAATATTTACAAAATATATAATCATTAAACTCAAAACTATTATTGTTTTTAGGTTTTTAAAATGTATATATGAAAATATGTTGAAGTGGAAGCTAAAAGCAGAATTAATGTATAGAAAAATGTCAATAACAGTGTTCTGGAAAATTCATGCCAACTAATAGCCACCAAACGTGAAACGTTATTAACGTTATATTCCTTGGCCTTGGTGTCTCATACTTAACCATAGAACTCTTCTTAGTCATAACTATATATATAGACCCTCCTTAGACCCCTCTTCTTCCACAACCGATCAAAAAGTCATTTTCTTGAAACTTGCTTTGATGATGATGATGATGCTGAGCCGCGGTGGCAGCAACCGTGCACTGTTGGCTGCCAAGGGCTTAAGCGCCGAAGTTGGAGCTCTTAAGAAATGGAGTTATGGTGTGAGGAGTGAGAGTACTTTGGCTTTCTCAGAGAAAGAGAAGAAGGTTGATTCTTCTTCTTCTGCTGCTGCTGCTGCTGATGGGAAGAAAGAGGAAAAGGGAATAGCCAGTTATTGGGGCATTGAAGCCTCTAAGATCACGAAACCTGATGGCACAGAATGGAAATGGAATTGTTTTAGGGTATGTATATATCATACGTCATGCATATATATATATATATATATATATATATATATCATGCATGCATGTTGTTTTGGAGATTAATTAATTGTGTTTGTACTTGTGAAGCCATGGGAGACATACAAAGCAGATGTTTCGATTGATCTGAAGAAGCATCATGCGCCAGTCACCTTTCTTGACAAAATGGCGTTTTGGACTGTCAAAGCTCTTAGATATCCCACCGATGTCTTCTTCCAGGTATTTTGGATGCATCTTTATTAACTTTTCCAACATAAATTTATTAACTATATAATAATATGCAGTAACAATAATATTTATAATGTTTTACTCTCTTTTTTGCAACTTCTGATCTTTCCATCGTACTACATTAGTTTTTTGTTTTGTTTTTTTTATCTCTCTTCTATTACCTAAAGAATACGGTATATGCTCATTATATTCCTTTTTTTTTTCTAGGAGGGTATATATTTCTATTCTTTTGACTTTTTCTTCCTAGGTAATTTTGATTCATTTTCTTTTTCAAACAGAATTAGTGTATGATTGCTTTTCCTTTTTGTTTTACAATGATTAAATGAGGATAGAACTTAGGTAATTTATCTAAACTCCCCTATACTAGTTCATTATATGATTGTTTTGAGGCTTTTGAGCCTTTTTTTTACAAATTTAAAGAATATTGTTGGCTATTTTGCGTAATTTTGATTTTACCTGATCTGTGTTTTGAAGTTACAAATTTTAATGTTAATGCGTAAGATAAATGATTATTTTATATAATTAATTTTTTTAAAAAAATAAATAGTTTAAATATATAAATTATATTATAATCAAAATTTATAATAAATAAATATTTTTATATATAATGTTTTAAATTTTAAACTTACGATAAATAATTTATATCATGTAAGTATTAAAAATTAAAATAAAGATGAGAAAAGGACAGGTAGAAAGATATAATAAGACATTTTCATTAGAGAAAAATTCTTAAATATACTGTTGAAAAAGAAACCATCAAATATTATTATTATTATTTATATAGAGAGAGAAAACTATTTCGTATTAATTTAGTTCCTCAATAAATTGACTTTTAAAATAAATTGATTAATTTGTATAACATTATGGTTCGGCTGATGGTTTTCTTTTGTCTTTATTTTTATTTTCATTATTTTGGTGGTCATAAATACTAAACACTATCATATACCTACCGGCTTAGTATTTTATAGTTTTTGGGAATCTTGCTAGGTGTCTTTTTTGTTTTTTTCTTAAAATAAATATCATGCATTGTACATGACTGACTACATATGATGTTTGCATGTGGTTTGGTTAGCAGGTTAATAAGGTATGTTGGGATAAGTATCTCATGAAAAGAAAATGATCCAATTTTGTTTGGCTACTCGATTGTTTTTTGTTTTTGAGTTTCCACTTGTCCTATTTTGATGACATCAAGTCAACGTGGATCTCCAACACCAAACACCATAAAATAATAATAATCTTCTTAAGAATAAAATGATTGTCATGTTGCTGACCTGGGTTGATATATACAAGATGTCAAAGATTCAGATTTAACTCTTATTCTCTTCATGGACGCGTGTTTGGATTTCTCCTAAAGCCACTAAAATCTCACTCTGTGAACAACGCTCTACAGGGAGATCCCGTGGCACTTAATCCTTTGAGTAAGCCTCTGTTGTTAGTCTCAACAATATATAAAAATCAGTTGTCATGTTTATTAGCGTATAATCTAACTCATTTTCTCATTTTAGGATAAAAAAAACAAAGATAAAATGCTTAAACTTGTATGTAGTTAGTCATATAATACCATCAGCAATCAATATTGTCTTTCAAGTATAGTATGTTCTTAATAATAAAATTCACGTGACATTTGTATGAACAACTATATGAATTTATGAAAAGTCCATTTCCACATTTCCACCCTCAATTTTGAAAACAAAAAAATAACTCGCATTTGTTGTAGTACTTGCTCACCCTTTGATGGAATTTATATTCTATACGCGATGTTTTAAGCTTTTTGTCTTAATAATTATGTTGTGTGAATGTAACAGAGACGATATGGATGCCGAGCGATGATGCTAGAGACAGTGGCAGCAGTTCCTGGGATGGTAGGAGGCATGCTACTGCACTGCAAATCCCTGAGAAGATTTGAGCACAGTGGTGGGTGGATCAAAGCACTGCTAGAAGAAGCAGAGAACGAGCGGATGCACCTGATGACGTTCATGGAAGTGGCAAAGCCCAAGTGGTATGAGCGTGCTCTAGTCATAACAGTGCAAGGTGTTTTCTTCAATGCATACTTCTTGGGGTATTTGCTCTCACCTAAATTTGCCCACCGAATGGTTGGTTACCTTGAGGAGGAGGCAATACACTCCTACACAGAGTTCCTCAAGGAGCTGGACAAGGGCAACATAGAAAATGTGCCTGCTCCAGCCATTGCCATTGACTATTGGCAGCTCCCACCGGATTCTACTTTAAGGGATGTTGTCATGGTTGTCAGAGCTGATGAGGCACATCATCGTGATGTCAACCACTTTGCATCGGTAATTAATTAACCTTATATATTCCTTTTGCTTAGTTAAATGACTTAAAAAGAATACTAATGGTATTTTAATGTAATGAACTGCAGGACATACACTACCAAGGACGAGAGTTGAGAGATGCTGCTGCTCCAATTGGTTATCACTAGACATCAAATTTTCCAACTCTTATGATGTTGGGGTGACAAAATTCAAGACACAAATTCTAATGTCGTTTTGGCTACAGAATAAATAAAATTGCTTGTAACTGACTATATAAAGTTGTTTATTTCTTTTGTTTAATGATGCCATTGTAAATAGTGCGGTATTGTCTTTATTTGTTCAAAGTCATACTGTATGGAGTAATTTGTAATTCTACTGTACAAACGCTTTAAGGTACAAGTGGAGTTATATGATATCTCCGAGAGCTCGGTGGTATATTTTGCTTACTAATTCCTTCATTTACTCTTTTTGAAATGGTTTTTTATTTCTTCTTGGATTTCACATTCTTGGAGATCAAGGAGCCGAAAGCATTGTTGAAATCTGCATAATATAATTAGAGTCTTGCTAAAGCATCATAATTATGGCACCAGGGTGAGGATGGCGTGTGTGATAGAGAAAAAAGCTTCAGTCCGTGTTGCGGAATTTGTTGGCATGGCCAGTAGTATTTTTCTCTCCTCCGCAGCTCTAAGAAGATACTTAGCCGTATTTAGATGAATATTATCAAGTATTCAGTTTTTTAGAAAACATTCATTCAATTGTGAATAAAAATCTTTAGCTCGGGAAACAACTTCTAACCTATTGAAAAAAAAAAGGAATAGAATAGGAATAGAATTAGAAGGGGTAGCAGCATGCAGAATTTTATGGTCCGTGGTAAGTGAATCAATTTGTTGCCAAGTCACAGTCCCTCTCCCTCTCTTCCTTTGAACATCTAAAATATTTATGTGAATCCCTTTCCTCTCCCAACTAACTACCAGACACGGATTCCATATATATGCTAAGTCGCTTATGCGTCAAAATGATGCAGTGCTTCGTCTGATAAACCATCTATTGGCCCCGGATAAGTAAACAACGATGTACAAAATACATGATGATTTACTTATTCAGTAATTAAACACCTTTCGGTGATAATTGTAGGACTCTGCAGTAGCTTTTTGACTGCAGGGAAACCTGATCCGATCATCTCATCCAAACAAAGTGTTACATATTTTTTTCTATCTTTTTTCTTTTAGTTTTGGACATCAAAAATATGGCAACCATTAATTAGCCCGTTAAAGAAAACGATTCTAATGGGCTTAAAGTCCGACGAAACAACAGGCATTCAGGTTAAAAAGGAAACCACTGAAATATAGATGCATTGTTTTTACGTGCATGTTTTGTAGCAGCACTACTCCACTGTTTCCAACATTCTAGAAACCTTGTGTAATGACTAGCTTTCAAATTATTATGGAATTCTTATAACCTCGTACTGATGGGAAATTCTGAGAGGGGATTGCTTTGAAACAGGCCTACTTTCGGACCAAAGCTCCAGGTTGACAGTTCCACTATCCCAATGAACAAGACACTTGAATACCTCACTAACGTTAAATCGGTTGACCAGTGCCAAGCCAAGGCATTTGTCAATGAGCCTCCACTCACCTGAAATGAAATAACAATTAAAATTTTATAGGGAACACCATAATCTGTTATCCAGATTCAGAACATTAACATAAAAATAAATTTCAATAACAATTTGAAAACAGTTAATAAAACTTAAATTCTTAGGCAGCCAGCCACCAATAGTAACATCAGTTTCTAAAAGTAACATTTCAGCAATCATTTTGGTCATAATGGTCTTTTGGGAGTGAGGATAGCGGTAAGGCTTCACATTAATGGGTGTGGTATTGGGTAATAAAGGAATATGATGATCATGGGGTCGGTGAGGGGGTAGGCCTTTAGGTTTCTGAAAGATGGGCTCATATTGATGGAGTAAAGTTTGAATTTCAGGGTTACAATGAGTAGGTGGGCTGGGTATGGAAGGGAAAGATGGGATATGAAAGAAAAACATGTCACCAACTGCTTATAGATTTGCTCATGGTAGGTTTCTTATGGGGTAAAATTTCAAAGATAATTGATGATTCTTCCTTGTATGAATAAACATCTTCAGTAAGTGTCTCTCAAACTCTCAAAGAGAAGTCAGTCTGAAGGCTGTCATCACATTCTAAACTGAAACCCCGTTATAAATACAATTTTAACAAATGAAATAATAAAACTCAAAAATATTAATTACATAGTAAAAAGTCAGTAAAAAAACATGTTTAGTTCCTATTATTTTTTTCCAATTTTGATTTTAGTCCCTATCCTATAAAAATTTGGTCGAGTCCTTATAATTTCAAAACCACTTAAGAATTGGCCCCTGCTATCACGTTAAATTTTGGTTTTGGTCCCTATGCTAGGACCAATTCTTAGTAGTTTTGAAACTATATGACCTGAAAACAAATGCTTAAAGTATGGAGAGACCAAAATCATTGACACTAGATGTCAAACCTTTAGGATTAGTAACTTTTTTCTACAATATGGAACTAATCAATTACTCAATTGAAAGTTCTTATAAAGTAAATCAAGTATATAAGATTTCATGCAAAACAAAAATCAATTGCTACTTCACCATATTATTTTATTTTGACAGATATATTATATATATTTAAAATATAAATAAATGCTCATTATTAAATAACACACCAACCAATTAATGTGAAATTTGATATAGATGATCATAAAGATAACATCAAATGATTGAACAGTTTGATTGATTAATTTCATATTTTATAGTAAATATTAACCTAATTTTACTTTTTAACATGAAGGTATATGTTAAAAAAACTATATTAGTAAGATCAAGCTTCGGAATTTTTAACCAAGCTGAACCCAAGCTTTAAATTTGGCTCCTTTAAATAAATGAGTCAAGCATGAGCAACCTCTTTTTCACAAGACAATACAAACCTAAACTTCAAGTGTTTGACCTGGTTACACCCTATGCCTGATTCATTCTTTTAGCATACTTATTTATTCATCCTAGTATAAGTTCCGACATTTCATATGGGTAGCAATGATGAGTGAGGAAAAAGATAAAATGACCATTACCATTAGGAATGAGGTTTCCTTCGAAGCATTGCTCCCCACCATCAGGAAAGACCTCATGTGTGGATCCATCGATTGAAGTAAATGAAACAAAAGATTCAGATGGGTGCAAAAGAGTGAATGATGGGTGAACTCTCAAGCAAACCAACCTACAGAACACACATGGAAGCAAAGTAGGAATCAGAGATCTGAATAGGCAACAGACAAGAATATATTCTTCATTAACATCTAAACTTTCCACTAGAATCCTCAAGCACGATATAATAAACACAAAAAAGCCAGACAAATAAAATAGTCTTTTGGGTTCAGATGATTGATGAACAATCAATTAACATATATTTTCTTAGAAATATAATATAAAAACATTCATGTGACTTCTAACAACTTCAGCTTTTGGATTGTTGGTTCATGACATGATATCAAAGCCTTTATGAACCCCAATAGATAAGAGCTCAATCCTTGCTATCCCCATTCTCCTAATAAAAAGGCTTAATTTCAGCACAAGGCTAGTAGGCCTATGCATTATCCATACTTCAGCCCAAAGGTTCTTGTGAGGTAACATGTTAAAAATATATTAAAAATCTATTCACATATGTTCACCATAGAGCTCAACCTTTTGGGATAGTTGGTTCATGACATTTTGAATGAATAATGTGTTGGGGGAACATTCACCCAAAAGTAATTTTGAAAGAATAACTTGTTCAAATATGGTTAAGCAAAATTACTGAGTGTGAATTTGTCAAACAGCAAATAAATTGTATTTTTATTCAACCAATTTGTAAAATCTGCCAAATTGAAAAACAAAAATAAATACTGCTTCTTTTAGATTAACAACTGAGACCAAAACTAATGTTGTTCTTGACAGCCAAACATTTCAAAAATGTGTCCAATTCATTTTGAAGCTCAAATTAGAGGCACTGAGTAACCAAACACGCTTTTAAGCCCCCTGATCCAAGCAAAGGTTTTATCATACTCTTCTTTATGGATCAATAATTCATGAAACTGTTCCTGCTATAGCAAAAGAAGTGCCAGTCACTTTATTTACCCAATCAGAGCTTGAAATCCCCCATCCCCAAAGATGAAATTAACTCTATCTTTAATATTATCACATAGGAGATATAATGCTAATATTGTAAGGATACAGGAGGGGGAAGCTTCAGATATAACCTTGAGAACCCTCCAGAACCAGCGCCAACACTGCGGGCTACTATACTAGAGTCTATCTGGAAGATATTGGCAACATTCTTTGGAACATAGATTTGCCGTTGAAGAACCAATCCTCCACCAATATCACCCTCTAATACCACAGATTCCTCCTCCCCAGCATGCTGAAGTTCTCGACTGAAAAAAAAAATGCCACAAAATACATGTTGAGTACCAAAAGGAAAGTGGAGTGAGGCAAAAATAGATAACATGCTCAGTAAATACAAGGATCAAATTGCCCTTGGTGACTCTGCCAATAAAATTTCCCCAATGATGCATGATATACAAAGAAAACTTACTCAATAACAGAGTATTCCTCAGAACACCCAGCAGAACGATACTCCATACCACTATACTCCTCATACCCATGGATCTCAATCCTGCTATGGAGCCATTGTGTTCCTGAAAACAGATTGTTTATTATTATGAATATAATGCATATTACAAACAATATAAGTTATTTCATCAATACAGCGAAGGAAAAACAGAAGCTACTTATACATTTCTGAGTATTTAAAGAAAATTAAATAAATTGCTAAAGATGATCAACATACCTGAAGGAATGTGTGTCATGGAGATGATTCTACCCCCAATCCAGGGAACAATTTTAAGATTCCACTCACCACTTTTCAGTTCAATGGGAGTTTTTAAAAGCTCTGTTCCCTTGGGTCCAGAAACCTCTTCTCCGTCAGGAATTGGAGTGGTGTTTTCTATCAAAAAATGAATATATATCAGAAGAAAGTAGCATACCTTCATATAGAATTGGCGTTTTTAAATTTTTGGATCCATGAATGCATTTTAGATACAATTCAGATGTAAAATAGAACATAATTTACAGAACAAAACTAGTGGTTAGCCTCCACTCTTCTGATGAACAGGGAGGGAAAACTAAAATCCATGCAAGAATCTCAATTCTCAACAGAGGGAAAATATTCAAAATAACCCGTACATAATGAAGACAAGGAAACAACGGCATAGAAATAGAGAGGTGAATATCCAAACCAAGAAATAGCTTTTAAAAAATAACATACATCTTAAAGCAGGATTGCCTGCAAGAGATAATCAAACTAAAAAATACTAGTACATAATAAAACATAGCATCGGCAGGAAAAACAATAGTCAAGATTCAA